AAGTTAAATAGTTAGACACTCTAGATTCTCGTTTATTAGAAGCTGAAGATACCTAATTAACTATTTTAGATAATATACGAAATCAAAAAGAAAAATTGCTCAAAGCTATTGAAGATGAATTATTTATCATTCTCAACCATAATAGACTGAAGTAATCAAAGTTGGAGCCAAAATGACTTAAAGACATGCCACTATGATTAAAAATCATCAGTCCTACAATAAAGGAATCTTCCTATCCTTAATTTGCATATTAACAATAGGAAATATACTTATCTTATATTACAAATTAATTAGTTGGTTATTTATATACACTATAATTATTACATCCTTTTTTCATTAATAATTAATTAAATAAAAATGTAAAAATTAAGTAATATTATGCGAATTAATATCTTTATTAAATACCACTAAGTCATTCACACATGAAATATGGTAATTTCCATTAGCCTTAATCACCGGTGAAAAGCTCTAAATCTTAAATATTTTTTCGTACCTTATTATTAGAATCTTATTTTATCTGCTAATAAAGAACCCTTACACTTAAATTAAAATCGACTACTACTATCTATTTTATCTAATGAATATAGATCGTATGGCTTAGCGTCTCCTCCAGAAATAAGTTAATCTTCATTATTTGATTATCATCATTATTTTTTTTCTAATATTTTAATATCAACTTTAAAGCAAGCAATTCCACTAAATTTCAAGATAATTTGAAATTACTATTTCCTTATATTTATTTTCTATTTAAACATTCATATTGACCTTTTTAAAATTATCTGTTTCAATATTATCTATGAATGTTCACTTAATAATAAAATTAATTCTTAAATCATTGATTAATTTCAACTTGAATAAGAATAAAATCATTCTAATTTTTATTTTCAAACATCAAATTTCCATTTTGTCGAAAATATTGTATCTATTATAAATCTAATTCAAGTTTTGCTAATATTTTTAGTATTTTTAACTAATCATTATTGGAATCCAATATGAAATAGTAAGTTCATAATTTTTTTTACTTATATAAAATCAAGTATACATAATATTATGCATACCTTTTTAAAAGAAAGATTATAAAAGTGAATTAAATATAAAAGTTAATTATTTTAAAATTAGAATTTATTAGAAATAATTTCAACAGTGGGTGAGATTAAAAAAAAATAGATAATCAT